TGAACGAATGGAAAGCAGGTAGGAGGGACTGACCATTTGATAACTCAGAGTCTTTTAAAACTATAGATGAAAGAATTCAACTATAGGGTGGTGCCTGTGGCTCAGTGAGTAGGACACTGGCCCCATATACCAAGGGTGGCAGGCTTGAACCTGGCCCCAGCCAAACTGCAAGAAAAAATAGTCAGGTATTGTGGCAGGTGCCTATAGTCCCAGCTACTAGGGAGGCTGAGGCAAGAGAATCACCTAAGCCCAAGAGCTGGAGGTTGCTGTGAGCTGTGATGCCATTGCACTCTACCAAGGGCAACTAAAGAAGACTCTGTCTCCAAAAAAAAAATAAATAAATAAAATAAAAAAGAAAATTCAACTATAATAAAGCCTGTATATAGTTATAGTCATGATTTTAATATAGAAGACCTGGGGTTATAATATATCTTAAAATTATAAGAAAAAACTTAATTTTCAAATATGTCAAGAAAAATATATAAAACATAAAATATTTTACTGTGATACCATTATATTTACAAACTTTGGATTTGCAGGAGTCGTCTTGGACCACACATTAAATCATTAAATACACAAACACTAACAAAAGCTGATGAGTAAAAAAAAAGGTCTGTACATGCTTTTTGTGATATCCAACACCATAGATAAACAAAAACGTCCTCCCCAGATGAGCCCGCAGCCATGGGCCGCAGTCAGACGTCCCTCCCCTAAAGACCACACACAGATCCCTGTGAGGGTTAATAAACTAATTCAGCAGAGCTGTAGGATGCAAAACCAAGACCTAAAAGTCAGCTGTATTCCTAGATACTAATGATGAACAATCAGAAAAGGAAACTAAGAAAATAATTCCATTTACAACAGCATCAAAAGAATAAAATACTAAGACACTAATAACAAAATACTAAATTTAACCAAGAAGGCAAAAGATTGTATACTGAAAACCACAAAATATTGCTGAATGAAATTACAGATGAGAAATAAACAGAACACATCCTGCGTCTATGGCTTCAGTGCAGTCAGCGTGATGATATCACGGGAAGTGAACTGCAGAGCTACAGGGACCCTATCAAAATCCCAACAGTGTTATTCTGCAGAATCAGGAAAGCCTGTCCTAAAATTCATGGACGCTCCAGGGACACTGATGAATGGATAAACCAATCTCGAGAAGGAAGACAAATCTGGGGGACTCACATTTTGATTTCAAAACCTACTGCCTATGGACGTTCTATCCAGACCAGTGTGTGGCCTGAGAACAGACACACTCAACAGTGGAAGAGAGCCCACAGGTAAACCTGGCCAAACACCGCCACCTGACACTTTTGGGTTTGTTTTCAGAGATGGGGGTCTCTGCATGTTGTCAGGCTGCACTGCTGACAAGGGGACCCTAGAGCCCATGACAGCCTTGAGGTGGCTCCAGCGCTCCAGGGAGCAGGGACCGCAGGCTGCACACCACATCCAGGCCCTCTGACTGGTGACAAGCGTGCCAAGACTCAGTGGGGAAAGGACAGTTTTTTCAACAAATGGTCTGGGGAAAACTGAATATCCACATCAAAAATAATGAAGTTGTGCCTCACATGTCTACAAAACTTAACTCCAAGTGGATCAAAGGCCTGAATGTTAAGTAAGAGCTGAAACTATAAAGTTCTCAGAAGAAAACGTGTGAGAAAAGCTTCACACACTGGCTTGCCAAGGATTTCTTCGTTATTATATCAAAAGTAAAGGCAACAAAAGAAAAAACACATTGGGTTTCATAAAAATTAAACACTTTTATATGTCGAACAACACCAGCCAGGGATTGAATAAACAACATAGAGTAAGAAAAAATCTGCTAATTGTACATCTGATAGGGGATTACTACCTAGAATATGTAAAGAACTTCTATGACTTAAAAAAAAACCTAATTCAAAAATGGGCAAAGGACTTGAATAGACACTTCTCCAGAACAGGCCCAAACGGCTAAGAAGTCCATGAAAAGATGCTCAGCGTCACCCATTAGCAAGCAACCAAAACCACAGGAGGCACCACTTTATGCAATTTCAATGGTTATTATTTTAAAAAATACAAAAAACAACAAGTGTTGGCAAGGGGGTGGAGAACCTGGAGCTCTCTGTGCACTGCCGGGGGGAATGTGAGACGGTCAAATCCAGTTTGTTAGTTTCTCAAAAACTTAAACAGCTCTGCCATGTGAGCCAGGAGTTCTACTTCCAGGTAGATACTGAAAAGAACCGAGCAGGAAATCCAACAGACACTTGCACACCAATGTTCATGACGACATTATCCACAATAGCCAGAAGGTGGAGGCGACCAACATGCTCCCAGTGAACAGACGGGACGCGGTGCACACACTGTGCAATGAGATGCAGCCTGAGAAAGAGTGAGAGTGTGACACACAGCACACCCGGGACGGACCCTGACAGTGCTGAGTGAAGGCAGTCTGACACAGGAGGACAGATGCGTGACTCCTGAGAAAGAGTGAGAGTGTGACACACAGCACACCCGGGACGGACCGACAGTGCTGAGTGAAGGCAGTCTGACACAGGAGGACAGATGTGTGACTCCACTCAGATGAGCAGCGCAGAGGGGAGCGGACGGGGAGTTACTGTCCAGTGAGCTCAGGGTTTCCCTCTGGAAGAGGTGGCAGTGATGGTGGCACAACTGTGCAAATGTGCTTCATGCTGCTGAGTCACACAGTGAGAACAGCTGAGGGCAAACTGTGCTAAGTCTACAGTACCACAACTAAAAAAGACTGTAACTCTGCTGGGAAGATACTTGGCAATGCTTAGCCCAACTCCTTATGATCCACCTTTGACCCGACAATCCATCTTCTAGGAATCTACTGAGGAAACGACTCCGACAATACGAAGATACAGAATATTAGTCAGGGTGGCACTGTTTCTAAATGTAAAATATTGGAAATAATTGATATGCCCTTGAATATTATAGAAGACCAAAGAAAGTTAGTATGTATAATATACTATCCATTTGTAAAAAAATAAGGATGCTCTCTATGAATTGATATGGTATGACTTCCTGGATATACTTTTAAGTAAAAAATGCAAAGTGCAAAATAAAATGTTGCCCTTCATGTAAGAAAAAAAGGGACATAATAAAAGACTCGAGTTTTTGCTCATTTGAGCAAAGAGAAATTGGGGTATAGAAATGGAATGAAGAGAATCAGGCAGGGGGCCCTGAGTGTGTGTCTCCTTGTAACGCTCTCTGAGAACAAGAGTCATGTTCCAAGTACCCCAGGATGAGAACTGTTTAAAAGTAACCATGATGGAGGGGGGGTACAACATGGAGTACAAACAGCCGCAATGCATCTAAGTGCAGGACAAATGAACATGTGATCAACCAGAAAGGGGAGAGGACGGCAACTAACCCAGGCAACTGGAAAACAGCACTGACGGTAAAGCCGAGGACAGAATTGTTCAAAGAACTGGAGTTAACAATTACAAAATTACTTTTGTGTGCATTAGGACTGAACAAATGTATTTTTGGTAATTGGAGTCAGGGTTCTTACTCTAAGATAAAGAAAGCGTCCTGTGAAATATGGTTGGTTCTAAAGCTAGGGCTGGGAAATATAAGTTACGTCTGGTTCATCGAGGGGTACCAGAAAGTAAGTAATTCAAAAAATTATAGTTGGGTATATCAAAAGGATACAGGAGGCAAACTGACGGAGCTCCCAATGGCCAAAACTTGGATTCTGAGCAAGAAAATATTGCTAGTATTACAGAATAGTAAGAGTACTATGGTGTAATAGTTGAAAAGTAAATATTCATGAGCCCATACCAATATAAACAAACAGTTGAATAAATAAGTCAAGAAATAAAGAATAGTTCTTGCTCCCAGCAGAATTCTAATTAACATACATAGGAAGACCGATGGTAACCGACAATCACCATTAGGCAAACACCATGGCAGTGACTATGATAGGCAGAAGCCACCAACATCAGTGAGTGACTGCGTATTTGTACAGTCTCAAAAAGACTTACTGAATAGAAAGGAAAAACACTTTTCAGTGGCAGGGAGCACCTTGAGGACGTGCTCAGAGCTGACAGCAGCAGGAGGAGCTGAGCTGGTAGTACCAGCCCTCACTTCACTGATACACTTTTCTGAGAAAAGTACAATGTGATTTCAGTCTTAATAGAAACACACAGCCTCAACTGAATCTGTAAGAAAACACTGTACAAACCCAAACTGATGGACCTTCTACTAAAGTCCCAGGAAGATGAGGCAGACTGTCACAGATGCAGAAGACTTAGGACAAGTGACAACAGCAATGCGGGAAACTGGATAAGACATCAGCAGCAAAACTACAGATATCTGAATAATAGCTATGGATTTAATTAATAATATTGTCAGTGTTAATTTTCAGTGTGGCTTCCTAAGATGTTAACATTAGGAAAATCTGAGAGAAGGGCATGTGGGAACTCTACTATTTTTATAACTTTCTCTAAATGTAAATTTATTTAAAAACAAAAAGTTAAAAAAAGAAAACATCAAAATCTCAATCTTTGCTGACCAAGCTTTGGTGGAATCATAATTGTTCACCAAGCTGAATGGTGCTGATAAGAAACCCTTGAGAGAGAATCAGCTTCCACGCTCTGCAGCCCTACCACTTGTTCACATCTTTGTAATGAGGCAGTGATCTAGTTTTTCTCTTAACATGAATTTTTAAAACCTGTAATAGTCAATTCTTTAAGAACAGGGACCAAGATTTAGTTGTCTCTACATCCTCTGTGACTCGCAGCGTTTGTCACATGTAAATGCGGCCCAGCAACCGCAGTCTCAGCTACTCTGGAGGTTGAGGTGGGAGGACTGCTTGAGTCCAGTTCAAGGCCAGCCTGGGCAACATGGCAAAACCTTGCCTCTAAAAATAAATAAAATTTAAAAGTGTTTTAAAATTAAAAACCAACTTCTAGAATTACATGCTCAGTAAGTGTGAATGAGTGAAGATTATGTAAAAGTTCTCCTTACTATAGGAATTATTTACTTACGCTCCACAAAGGATGTAAAGAGCATTCTGAACCTGCTGAGCCGACTACCTTCATCTGCCCACATTCGTATCACGCCAATTCCCGTCTTCAGCATCACGTCGTTGGCCACAGTGCTGCAGAACTTGGCCTTCAGGTTTTCGATAGAGCTGCTTCCATCATAGACTGCGACGAAGTTTCTCTTACATTCATTTGAGTGCTCCATTTGATAATCTAGGAACCTCAAATAAATCTGTAACATCAACACAAAGAAAACACACTGCTTTTATTTTTATTTTTTATACTCTGGGTTAGAAAGGAATTTCTTTTTTTTGTATTTCCTTTATACATATACATGTGTTTATTTGGTTTCCACTTTCTGCCTTCACAAAATTAAAAAGGCTTAAAATTTAATAACAATAACAATGTTTACGATAAGGACTAGAAACAAAACATCATAAAGAACGAACGAAGATAAATACATTCAGAAAAGAAATCAGACGATTGCTGCAACGAAATACTGAGCAACAATAATAATGATGCAAAAAAAAAGTAACATTCACATTGTCATATAAGAGTATGTCTATTAGAGAATGCTTTGACTTTGAGGTTCAAAGTATGGAGTTATCAGTTAACTTCTTTTTTTTTTCCCAAAGTCTCAAAAAATAGACAACTAATATTTATAAATAAAAATAGAAGATAATTTCAAAAATTATCATGCCAAATATTAGAGACAATAGAAAAAGAAGAAATACTTCAAAATCATTCTACTTCATCTGGATATACCTGATATTAAGCACACTGCTTTTAAAAAGACACATTTCAATTTTTCTATTATCCATAGCCAATAAAGTACAATGAATTATGACAGCTGACAAAAAGATAGAGCAGAGGTAGACTTGGTGCTTGTAGCTCAGCAGCTAGGGCACCAGCCACCACAGCTGGCAGGTTTGAATCCAGCCTGGACCTGCCAAACAACAACG